AATGAATAACAGATTAAACCGTATTATACCCTTGTAGGAGGTATTATAATTTCAGTCAGATGTTTGCAACGCAGTGAAGGAGACGTTTCCGACCACATAAAGTATATATATTCTTGATCAGCACCAATAGCCGAGTTTATCTAGCCATGTCCGTCTGTCCGTTTCTATGCGAACTAGTCTTTCAGTTTTAAAGCTATCGCGATGAAACTTTCCCGAAAGTCTTCTTTCTATTGCAGGTAGTACATATGTCGGAGCGAGCCGGATCGGACCACTATATCTTAAGGCTCCCATAGGAATATTCAAACAAATATAAGAAAATTCATTGAAACTTTGTAGGAAGTAGGCGTTTTGATTCTTGACTACTTAAAAACAAAATTTAAATAAATAGAAACGCTGAGTCTGGAATCCCTGGAACTGCACCGACTGAGCATTCTTTTATCTGCAAGGGTATATAAGCTTCGGCTGGCCGAAGGTAGCTTCCTTTCTTGTTCCCTTTAAATTTATTAATTTTTTATTGAATTTTTTAAAAATGGAATACATTTGTATAGTGTTTAATGAAATGTTATAGGCTCATTCCACGTGAAACGTGACAGGCCAATTTGGGTCAAGTCTCAGAATCAATCGAAACTCTTTTTTTCGATAGAGGATTAAAATATAAGGATCGGTTTTGTTTTTTTTTAAATCTTACCGTTTATTTAAAAAAAATATTTTTGTAAATAAGCTCAGATTTTTCCGTTCGCAGCACTTGAGACTCGTTTGAGTTATTTTAATATTTGTGAGACAACTTAGTATCTTTCAGAAAAATATTAAAAAAAATTTGTAATTTTTAAATTAAGTATTTTTTAAGGGAATTTAAAATTAAAAAATTCTGTACGCCGGAATACACACGATTTCCGATAAAAATAATTATCCTCCTGTTGCTTCATCAATTCTTCACGAAGTGGTAAAATAAAGTTTTTGTATTTGCAAGACCTACTAGTAAAGACAACGATTTTAGTTTAGCAACTTTGCATCAAGCAACAACAGCGCAACGTGTAAGAAAGGGAAAGCACTATTCCTGCTCTCCCGTGTTCGTATTGCTGTCTCTTCTTACACGTTGCGCTGTTGTTGCTTGATGTTAAAGTACTATTTTTATAGTTAATGAACTATCTTTATTGGTCAATTTTACCAACCATATTTTTTTGTGTGTATGGACACCTTGTACACACAAAAAAACGTGGTTAAATCAACTTATTTATAGTGACAACTGTAACAATCTATAAAAAATAGAAAACTCAAAAAAAAAATAGTAGGGAACATATTATTTTAAGTATACTCAGAAAAAAAACCAAGCACATTGTGCTTGTTTCAAGCTCAAACGGTCTTGAAAGGTCGATAGGTACGAAATGGGCTTGTTTTTTCATTTCAAAAACGTTTTATTCTTAAACCGACATTCTTAATTTGAGAACATTTTCGGGCGTAATTAAGTATGAAATGTTCTTGAACCCAGAATTAATTATACTTAAAATTAAATTAAATTCTCCTCAAACAATGTAAAAAATAAAAAAAAACAATTTTAAAAATTTAATGAAAATTGCTTTAGAGTGGAGGGTTAATATTATTATTTGTACAAATTTAATCCGATTTACTTGTGAATGAGGTATAAGCTATGCTCAAATGAAGTATGAAATATTCTTAAACTAATAGTTTAAATCATTATGTTGATTTATTAGTTAACAATACTTATTTTGTATAATCTTAAACTTAATTACTGATAAATGTATAAAGATTTGTAGATAAAAATGTGTTTTATACTTACGAAACATTTTTGTTAAAATCACATACCTCTCCTAGGATTCGATCCCGCAACCTCACGCACCACAGTCGGACGTTCTAACAGCTCGGCCACGCTCGCTCTTACGCGGCGATGACCAAAAAACCTACATAAGTACTTTTATTTGCATACTTAATTTAAGTACAACGTATACTTGTTTTGAGAATTTAATTCTTAGTTTTAAGTAATATAAAACAAAAACACCTCTTAACAAGGTAAAATGGAGTGACGATCGCACCATCAACATACAAAAGTTCTGATACCACATTTTGTGACGAAAAATTCTTGTACATTCGACTAAATAAGTATACTTTTTAAATATGCTTTTGAAGACAATATTATTCGACGCGTATTGTCAGTAAGAATACAAGTCGGACATTTATCCCTACCGGCCCCAATAGCTCCAATTTTCAAAATTTTCACACTTTCAACGACCTCGCTCCCAAAACAATTGATTGGTGTATAACTCGTTACCATTACAGATTTTGAATTCTGCGGCTATATAATAGTAGTCGCCTTCACAAACTCTCCTGGTGCCCTTCGTCACTACGTGGACTTACGCGCACAGTGATTTATCTCCTTGTGATTTTATGTAAATGTTTTGAAACACAAAATCCGTAATTTGCTATTTTCTCCCCGATTTAAACATAAAATCGGCTTGTTTTGAGAATTTAATTCTTAGCTGTGAATTGAAATGTTTTTTAAATCGAATCGTATTTTGGCATATATGATGCACGTTTTTCACAGTATTTAATACCAATTATTAATTTCAAAATTTTCTCCGATTTAACAAAATTTGCTTGTTTTGAGGATCTAATTCTTAATTTTTAATAATATTGAACTACTTGTGTTTTATAAACATATGTATGTACCTTCATTATACAGTTTTTGTGAACTAATCTTTTTTAGTCTAGCGCCAATTCTATTTTACTTTAATCAATATTGGTACTCGTTAACTAAATTAATTAGTACATTTTAACATTGGCTTAAGCACAAATTGTACTTGTCAAAATTCTTTTTATTTTTTAATTTTAATACTACTGATGAGAATAATTCATTCTTATTTACAGAGTACTTAAACCTAATTTTCTGAAATTAAGTACTTTTAGTAATCACATTAAGAATGTTTGTGCTTACCAAGAAAAATTTTTTTTTTAGAATAAATTATACTTGGGTTTAGGATAAATCGTTCTTGTTTCGTCCTGTTTATTGAATTATGTTCTGGAATCAAGAACATTTGCGGATAATTTGGGCTTTAAGAATGATTTATTCTTAATTCAAGAACGCCCAACATTCTCATTCTTAAAACAAGCCCAAAAAATACTATCCGAAATCAAGTATAAATCGCTCTCAAATTTAGGATGCGTTTTTTTCTGAGTGTAGTTTCGTTTTTATTTTAGGTTGTTATCTTAATTTATATTAATGTTATTAATAGACACTTACATTATATATAACAAAGTCTCATTTACACTTTTAAAAAAACTTAGCGTCGTAAGCGATTTTGGGCATTAGAGCATAACAAACTTGCGCTGAATGAGAAGCTAAGGAATTAAATCTAAAACCTCAACTCTATAGCTTTTATAGTTTCCGAGATTACAGCGTCCACACGAACAGACGGACATTGCTATTTCGACTCGGCTAAAATACCCTTTTATTCAATCTATTCAATGACCCAAAAAATAAAATAACAATAAAAATTAATTTCCTAAAATAGTAAAGTAATAATTTTCTATGTTGCTTTTACGTTTTTTTTTTTGTGCATCGTTTTAGGAAAGTTTATTCAATTAATGTTTTTAATAACTCTGATGGTATTTAAAATGGTTTTTAGTTGTTTAATCTTTGGTAAAGATACATTTTAAGATTAATGGGTTAAAAATTCGGCAAATACTGGGTCTATTTAATTTGAAGAATAAAAAATTATTGGAAGATCTGTGTTGCCAAAAAAATACAGATGTGGAATGAAACAGAAAAAAAACCAAACATTTTATCAAGTATACAGAAAAGAGGGTACACGGACAGACTTCGGGAAAATAAGAGTTTAACAGACCTTTTTCGGCTAAAACAATAAAAGAAGTAACAGAACTGTCCTGAAAAAGACAAGAAATGGCAGGGCTTAAGGACATAATAAGAAATTCTGTGATATTGGGAATAATTTTGGAAAAATTAATACAAATTGAATAAACGCGTCATACCAATTTGTTCATTTAATATCCAATTCTGTTTTTACTTTGAATAATACACACAAAATATAGTCAATTCTACTCACAATTAGCCAAAACACACACCTATATCCTGGACAAAATTGACAATTTTTTGTGGTTGGGGTCTTTTTGACAATTTTTTTTTTGTGTGTATGAAAACTGCATACGAATATATGCCTACCAACTAAACGGAATTGTTGCTAAACGCGAATTTCATCCTACCCAACTGGTATCCTTTCCGCATAACTTAGTTTCAAAGGGTCCATCTAAAGCTATCAGCTTGATATCAAGTGATCTATTGGCACCTGAAGCTTGTTCTATTGTGAGCTTGATTTCTAGCAGTCAGAGCCTTATGAGCCAAATCCTGGATCTGCCATAGCGGTGACATTATAGTGCATGAAACGTTAAATCTGCAACATCGATTCTGTATGTGTACAGGATTTCTTTTTGGTTTTATTGGCATGTTTTCAAAAACAGTTTAATTAAAATGTAAAACCGTAAATAAGCAATCTGATGGCGCTTTTATTGATTACCTACAATGCAAATTCGGTATACCTTGATCTTACATATGAACACAATTCACATAAACTTACTTGTATGTACCCCGGGTCTGTATATAGCGCAGTGCCTACAATAGGAATTAAAACTTACTGCAAGTAGTTCATGCCTTTCTTCCCTGGTCGGAAGTGCGAGTGCTAGAACAAGATAGGTGTAGGTGTAATGGATTTGTTAGAGTCCCCTTTGAACTTTCAAAAGGTCCAACAGAGACAGCGCTAATACCATGAGTAGAGGACTGAAGAGGACAGGCCAAACAACGCCGAATACATCTGATTGCCACCCTCTGCGCACGAGATTGCTTGGGCCAATGGGAAGCGCCAAGTGAAGAAGGGGCGTGGCCTGCAAGTCACTCGTACTGCTTACACCCTTGTGGCCAAGCCCTCAGCCATTTTGGACGGACTCAGACATAGTTCGAACACGGCGTCGACCGCACGTTCCTGATTTCCGTCGATATTTCCCTGATAACACTGCAAATAAAATATTATCAACACAAATTTTGCAAAGCTAGTGCACCCGACATAAAAACCAGTGCTTAAGTGGTTCCGTCAAATTTGTGTTATTTACGTGTAATATGTATGGTTAACGGTTACCTACTCAGTGCCAGTGACAACCAGTTACTTCTCATCAGTAATCATTTCACTGAGATAGCGTCGGCGCAAGCAGACATGCCTTAATTAAGTGGAGCAGTATTGTGCAGAAAATTGTAAGTTCACGCAGAAAAAAATTAAATTCGGTTAAAATTTCAAAAATTGTTCCGGAAAACACACACACACACACCCCCCCCCAACTGGGGTAAAATAGGAAAGGAATTTTGGCATTCAAAAAGAATGCAACAAAAAAATCCTAGATGCGCCACTGTCTCTAACAGAAGTGGAAATTAAAGTAAAACGATAAAGCTTACACAAGGATATTAAGATAGATTTAAAATAAAAACAAGACAGAACGCTAAAGTCGGGTGGGTGTCCCGACTATCTACCCGTCACTCAGCTAAAGGAAGTGCGAGGGAGATGGATATATAAAATTTTGATTGCACATAACTTTTTAACGAATGGTCTTTAGTGGGCGATTGTGGGCGTTAGAGAAGGCGTGGCGCTGAAAGAAACTTGCGCTGCGTAGGAAGCCCAAGAATATGTGTGGGAAATCTCAACCCTCTAGCTCTTGTAGTTTCCGAAATCTCAGTGCTCATATAGACGGACAAACAGACAGACGGACATGACTATATTGACTCTTGTAGTTTCCGAAATCTCAGTGCTCATATAGACGGACAAACAGACAGACGGACATGACTATATTGACTCGGCTAATGACCCTGATCAAGAGTATATATACTTTATGGGGTTGGAAACGCATCCTTCTAGCTGTTACATACTTTTGCACGAATATACCCTTTTACTCTACGAATAACGGATATAACAAAAAGACAACAACAAACAAGATAAAAAAAAAAATGTTTTTCTGTGCTTTAAAAAATAATGTCTTGAAGAGAATAACATTTTTTTACTTTAAACAAATTTGCTTGGTAAAATCGACCAATGAAGATAGTTCAGTAACTATTAAAAATAGGACTTTAACAATAAAAATAGTCGTCCGTGTATTTGTTTTTGTTTTGTGAACTATTTTAAATAGTTGTTTAACTATGAACAATAGTTACCCTAACGTAACTTCTTTAGTGTAAAAGTAAGCAACAGTAATTTACAAACCTTTTGGGATGCCTTACTTATAATTCCCAACTGAGTCTACACCCAAAAAAATTTGCTTGGTAAAATTGACCAACAAAGATAGTTACGTAACTATTAAAATAGTTCCGTGTATTTTGTTTTTGCTTTGGGTTTATGTCTTTGCTAATTGTGTGTATTTTGTTGTTGTGGAATGACCATTTACTTAGTAGAATTTACAATTTTGCTGGTTGGGGCCTGTTTGACAATTATTACAGTTGATTTTACCAAGTTTTTTTTTGTGTGTAGCCCTTCATGGACCAAGCCCAAGTGAGATTCTTAGTCATTAAGACTTATTTTCTGTCTTAAGTCTTTAATATACTTCCACACTAGCTGGAAGTCAAGTGCAACCCGCACCTTTATAAGGTGTAGGATAAAGTCACTTTTGGAAAAGGTTATTGGAAATTACTATACAAATAGTAAGTTAACTACAATTTATGGTTTGGGCACATTCTACTTTTGTTTTTACAGTTGCATAACTATTTTTTATAGTAACCCTTACGTTTACGAACTACGTAAGAGTAACAATTTACTAAGTAGAATGGACAATTTTTATGGTTGAGGCCTGTTTGACAATTATTACAGTTGATTTTACCAAGTTTTTTTACTCTACGAGTCACGAGTATAATAAATCGGAGGAGTATGTCATAACTGTCATAGGAACGATCGTACAACTACACACAAAAAAATTTGCTTGGTAAAATTGACCAACAAAGATAGTTACGTAACTATTAAAATAGTTACGTGTATTTTGTTTTTGCTTTGGGTTTGTGTCTTTGCTAAGTGTGTGTATTTTGTTGTTGTGAAATGACTATTTACTTAGTAGAATTGACAATTTTGCTGGTTGGGGCCTGTTTGACAATTATTACAGTTGATTTTATCAAGTTTTTATTTTTGTGTGTACAAAAACATATAAAGTATACCTTTATTTAATCAGGATCATTACCGGAGTCAAAAAACGTTTCCTTTTACCTGTTACATCCTTTCCGACAAATAAAAATTGCCTTTAAATAAAAAAGGTCTTTGAAATTAAGAAATCAAGCGTTGTCTATTTTTATAGCCTTGCAGAGTCAGTCAGAAGTTTGCAACGCAGTGAAGGAGACGTTTTCGACCCCATAAAGTATATTTATTCTTGATCAGCATCACTGACGAGTCGATCTAGCCATGTCCGTCTGTCCGTCTGTCTGTTTCTACGCAAACTAGTCTATCAGTTTTTGAGCTATCGGGATGAAACTTTCCCAAAAGTATTCTTTCTATTGCAGGTAGTATATATGTCGGAACCGACCGGACCGGACAACTATATCTTATAGCTCCCATAGGAAGGAAACGTTAAAAAAATTCTAGCTTCGATGTTTTTTTCAAATATTACGTTCTACTCTTGGAAATATGATTTTTTATATATTTCTGAATTTTGAATTAAATATTTTAAAAATCGGATCACTATATCATATAGCTGCCATAGGAACGGTCGAAAAATTAAAAGGAAATTAATAGGAAAAAAATTATATCTTTCTTGATTTTTATTACATTATCTTCTACTCTGGGATATGACTACTTTTAAATATTTCCGAATTTCGATTTTAATTTTAAAAAGATCGAACTACGATATCATATAGCTGCCATAGAAACGATCAAAAAATTAATGTGAAATAATAGGAAATTTAGCATTTTTGCGATTTGTAAATTAATAGAATGATCTGCAAGGGTATGTAAGCTTCGGTTTGCCGAAACTAGCTTCCTTTCTTGTTTTTATATTCGTTACTCGTAGAGTAAAAGGGTATATTGTATTCGAGCAAAATAAGTATCAGGTAGAAAGAAGCGTTTTCGACCCTATAAAGTATATATTATTGATCAGGATTAATAGCCGTGTCGATCTTGCCATGTCCGTCTGTCCGTTTGTCTGTCTGACCGTCTGTATGAACGCTGAGATCTCGAAAACCACAAAAGCTAGGGATTAACCACACATATTCTTTGGCTTCCTACGCAGCGCAAGTTTATTTCAGCCGAGCACCACTCCCACTCTAACGCCTACAATCGCATTAAACAACCTTAAAATGTGTCTGGTTCCCACAGTGGGGGATCAAGGATTTTGTTGTGGGGGGTGATATCAGAACAAATTTTTTGTTGCATACTTTTTGAATACTAAAATTCCTTTCATTTTTCACCCGAGGGGGGGGTGATATATCACCTATCACCCCTATCACCCCCGTGGATCCGCACATGGGTTCCCACATATTTAAAGATTTCGGAAATGTATATACAGGGTACAGCCAAAAGGTCAATGCATACGAAAAAGTTCAAAGCTCACAAACTCAAGCATATTTTTGTTTTTTTTTAATATTATTTTTTGGTCAAACTCGTTCACTGCTGCCTGTACATACATACCAAGTTTAAAAAGTTCAGTTTTATAGGTCAGGTCTAATAACACTAGTTTACAGCAAAACAAGAAAGGAATCTACCTTCGGACAGACGAAGCTTATATACCCTTGCAGATAAAGTAATGCTCACTCGGTGCAGTTCCAGAGATTCCAGATTCAGCGTTTCTATTTATTTAAATTTTGTTTTTAAGTAGTCAAGAATCAAAACGCCTACCTCCTACAAAGTTACAATGAATTTTCTTATATTTGTTTGAATTTTCCTATGGGAGCCTTAAGATATAGTGGTCCGATCCGGCTCGCTCCGACATATGTACAGACAAAAAAATTTGCTTGGTAAAATTGACCAACAAAGATAGTTACGTAACTATTAAAATAGTTACTCGTATTTTGTTTTTGCTTTGGGTTTGTGTCTTTGCTAATTGTGTGTATTTTGTTGTTGTGAAATGACTATTTACTTAGTAGAATTGAGAATTTTGCTGGTTGGAGCCTGTTTGACAATTATTACAGTTGATTTTACCAAGTTTTTTTTTTTGTGTACTACCTGCAATAGAAAGAAGACTTTCGGGAAAGTTTCATCGCGATAGCTTTAAAACTGAGAGACTAGTTCGCATAGAAACGGACAGACGGACAGAAGGACAGACGGACAGACGGACATGGCTAGATAGACTTGGCTATTGGTGCTGATCGAGAATATATATACTTTATGTGGTCGGAAACGTCTCCTTCACTGCGGTGCAAACATCTGACTGAAATTATAATACCCTATACAAGGGTATAAAAATACAAAAAAAAAAATTATAAATTATTTTGTGCTTTCCGATCTAAGGGCCCCTTTTGTTATTAACAAGTTAAGGCCAAATATTTGCAAATGGAGTGCAAATTCTAGGAGATATGAATTTTTTAGTGAAACATCCCAATTTAGGTGGCCTGCTTTTGTTAGTTTGCTTTTTGACATATGAACAGGTTGCATCTTTGTTAATTGCGTCCCGATCACAAATGGTAAAATTGGTAAAATGGTAAAATTGACCAACAAAGATAGTTACGTAACTATTAAAATAGTTACGTGTATTTTGTTTTTGCTTTGGGTTTGTGTCTTTGCTAAGTGTGTGTATTTTGTTGTTGTGAAATGACTATTTACTTAGTAGAATTGACAATTTTGCTGGTTGGGGCCTGTTTGACAATTATTACAGTTGATTTTATCAAGTTTTTATTTTTGTGTGTACAAAAACATATAAAGTATACCTTTATTTAATCAGGATCATTACCGGAGTCAAAAAACGTTTCCTTTTACCTGTTACATCCTTTCCGACAAATAAAAATTGCCTTTAAATAAAAAAGGTCTTTGAAATTAAGAAATCAAGCGTTGTCTATTTTTATAGCCTTGCAGAGTCAGTCAGAAGTTTGCAACGCAGTGAAGGAGACGTTTTCGACCCCATAAAGTATATTTATTCTTGATCAGCATCACTGACGAGTCGATCTAGCCATGTCCGTCTGTCCGTCTGTCTGTTTCTACGCAAACTAGTCTATCAGTTTTTGAGCTATCGGGATGAAACTTTCCCAAAAGTATTCTTTCTATTGCAGGTAGTATATATGTCGGAACCGACCGGACC